CGTACTCTGACAGCCTGACAGCAGAGTCTGACAGGCGAGGCCGAGGGGGGTCCCGTCGCTGTCAGGCCCTAACGTGACAGGGCTGACAGCTGCCCGACAGCCCGACAGCACACAGTGGCCTGACAGCAGCGCTGACAGCCCGACAGCAGCACAGACCGTACACAGACCCCGTAGAGCCTCTTTCTTGTGCCCCATGAGGGTATAACAAAATTACATGCAAAGACATGTGAGTGTGGTCCATGTCCATGTAGTCATGGCACATGGGATGGTCCGATGGGTCTCTCTCTCAACCCTCCCGCCCCACCTCTGCGGACCCCTCTCTAGCACCGGCGGCTGTGCTACTACAAATGAAGCTACCAGCTAGCCTTCTGGGGCCCTACAGTCATATGCCTACGGCGTCTGGGTGGGGGTAGCCGCCGCCGTCTGTGCCGCCGCCGCCGCCTGCGCCTGCGCCGCCATATGCGCTCCCCAGGCGGCCGCCGCCGCCGGCGTGATCACGCCGTGTAGGAGGAGAGGCGCTGAGAGTATGTGTAGTAGAGTCCTGCTGGTCTCCTCTTGATAGTGTCATAAGTGTGGCTGGTGTGTGTCAGAGCCTGACAGCACCCCGACAGCACCACCTGACAGCACCTGACAGCAACAGCCCAACGTCTGACAGCAGCAGCAGCCTGACAGCTCCGACAGCTCCGACAGCGTCTGACAGCGTCTGACAGCAGCACCCGACAGGTCTGACAGCACCCGACAGCTACAGCCGATCCCCTCGCCTGTCAGACACGCACCGGACAGCACCCGACAGCACTGACAGCACCTGACAGCTGGTCTGACAGAGGCACCTGACAGTGCCTGACAGCTGCCCGACAGCCCGTCAGATCACCTGTGACCTGACAGCACCTGACAGCCTGACAGGCCAGGGTTCAGCCTCAGGGGCGCGGTGTCAGTGTATACAGTGATGACCCGCCGCGGCGTTCCGAGTTTCGGAACGGCGGCTGGCGCGTGGCGGTGGGGTCCCCGGTGGCGCGGCGCGCGGTTTCGGCTTTCGCGCCCCCCACAGACGACACAGACCACAGTGCAGAGCCGAGCACTGGCCACTGGCACTGCAGTCGTTTCCGGCGGGGGGGGGGGGGGGGGCTGCGCGCTGCGCCTGCAGCGCCGCTCACGACAAACCTCCGGCTCCGCGCACGTTAGACACACTAGTGGGGGAAATGGTCCACTAAAACATTCATTTTCCAAGCCCCAAACCCAAACTGGATCTCGAGGCGATCCGACGGTGATTTCGTTCGGCGTCACGATGACGGGTGAGGAACCGGTAGATCGCTCCTCGAGGCATGGAAGCGATGGATGTTTGCACTGCTCGGGGGCCTCAGGGCCCGGACTGCTTGGCCCTGGCGATCGAGCTGCAGCTGGACGCGCAGGGCGCCGCCGCCGCGGAGGCGGCCGTCGGGTCGCCGGAGGCCGGGGCGGGGGCGCTTCACGGCCAGGGCTGTGAGACACGCCTCAAGCCACCAAGTGCTGCCAAGCACCTTGCACAGGTCGGGCGGGTGCACGGTGGCTTCCCCGGGGCCGCCCTGGCCCTCAAGGCGACTGTTGGCGATGCTCTTTCTGGCCGATCCGGTGCGCGCGGCCACAACGGGTGCAGTGACACGCAGTGGACCTCGGCGCGCTGACGTTCGCTCACGCGCCTGCGCAGGAGAGAAAATCCTGTCCCCCATCACCTCCAAGGGCGACACGTTCTTCGTTCGGCACCACGCCGACGCCACGGACACGGAGGTCCTGATTATCGCCCTCTTCATCGTCCTTCTCGAGCCCAGCGCCGAGGACACCGCCGAATGGGCGGCGGGTTTGGCGCCTCTCGCGGCGCAGGCTGCGGATGAGCAGGCGGGCTGGGCGACGTCGGCGGCGCCCGCCGGCTACTACGACCCGTTTCAGCGGCTCATAGACGACAAGTGGCACAAGGAGACGTGCGAGGCCGTGAAGAAGGCGGTGGAGGGCTGGGAGGGCCGCGGCGCGCGCAAGGACGTGACAGTCGCCCACTTGCTCTCGTACCACTCCGGACTTAAAAAACACCCGGACCATGGCGGGCTTGGCGGGCTGCCGCCGCGCAAGAGGCCGCCGAAGCGCTTCAACACGTGGGCGGCCACGCGCGTCGCCGACCTAATCTACAGGCGCGGCCCAGTTTTGCGCGCGGCTCTCGGCTTGCCGCCGGCCGCCGCCGCGCTGCCTTCGGCGCCGTCGATGGTCGAGGAGAACGCGGCGCTGACCGCGACCATCGGGTTGAAGGACCAGAAGATCGAGGCGCTCGAGCGCGAGCTGGCGGTTTGCCGCGCGCAGCGCGCGGACAAGGCCGACAAGCTCCACAAGGCGAAGAAGCGCGCGGAGCGTAAGCGGGCCGACGCGCGCAAGTTCAAGGAGGCGCAGCAGCGCGGCTACTCCGAGGCCCAGAAGGCGGCGCGGGCGGCGCAGCTCGCGACGCGCAAGCAGAAGTTCGACGCGGCGGTCGAGCGCGCGTCCTACGTGCGCGTCGTGACGCTGACGAAGAAGCTCGCGCGCGCAAACCAGAAGCTCGAGGACGCCGGCCTCGCGCACGCGGCGGCGCTCGACGTGAAGAAAACGGAGGTGGCTAAGGGCCCTCAAGCCGGCCCGCCGCCTTCAAGGGCCACCCGGCAAAACTGCCCAACTTAAACTTCCGGGCCAGGAACTCCAAGGCCCGGGGTCCAGAACCCCAGGTTCCAAGGAAGAATCCCAATCCTAA